TGGGACCACAACCAGCCAACCAGACTGCAACATCCTCCTTGAACCCACAGCTACTAGAGCATTAGCAGCTTCATTCCCTTGTCTTGCAACAAGAGAAAAAGAAATCCTCCGCAAAGAGTGTTTATGACAGATAAGCTCTTGCAACAGGTCTTTGCTCTGCCATTCACAACCAGCCACCTGATCAAATAACATTCTCTTATATAATTCCTCACAATCCATCTCAAAACAAACATGCCACTTTATCACAAAAAACCATGGCTTCCTTCAAGGCCATACATTCTGCCATAAAGGGAGTCTCGACTATAGCATAATGACCAAAGCAACCTATAAAGCTACCATGCATATCTCTACAGATCCTGCCCACACCAGCACAAGGAGGATTAGCCTTGAAAGCACCATCCACATTAAATTTGACATGTCCTTCCAAAGGAGGTACCCATTTAGAGAATATTTTCCCAACTCCAACTAATAAATCCTTATTAGTATCACTGCCATTCAGTTTAACACCCCAGAAATCCTACACTTGTGCCTGCACCATCTTTATAACAAAATCAGTGCTCATTTTTTCTCCTCCAAACACCCAATTGCATTTGCATTTCCAAATCCACCAGCACATGGTAACCAAGACAGCTTTGCCATACTCATTAATGGTGCTATTACTGGTCAACATCTCCTCTAGCCATTGTTGAACCTGAACCATTCCAATACCTTGAAATTGCAGACCAAGTGCACAGCCAAACCAATACTCATTAGTCCAAGAACATAAAAGGAGCATTTGCTCAACAGACTCATCATGTTCTCCACAGATAGGACAGGTAGCATCTCTGGCACAATATCATCTCAATAAATTTGCCTTTATTGCAATAGCTTCATTAATTAGACACCAAAGAAAATGTTGAATTTTAGGTATAATAGGAATTTTCCAAATACTCCTCCACATCTGTCTTGATGTATGACAAGAAATGCTCAGATCCCTCTGCACCACCACCCTATCATAGCTTCTGGCCACTTTGTATCCTAATTTCACAGAATAACACCCACCCTTAGTAGCCAACCAAAGATAAGAATCAACTACAGAATCCACAAGAATTCTAGGGGTTGGTTGAAACTGTTTTTATTTTATTATTCTAAGAATTGGTGTTTTGTAAAACATATTGAGAGCATAAAAATAATGAAAATAAGGGTTTTTTCATTTTTTTTTTGTTCTTCAGAACAATAATCCCAAAACACTTGAAAGTTATTTTCATTTTTTTGCTCTTGAGAACAATATTTTATTTTTTGTATTCTCTAAAAATACTTTTTAAAAACACGTTACCAATTAAATTTTTTTGTTTTTTATTCTAGAGAACAGAAAACTATTCTCAAAATAGGTTGCTAAATAGACCCCTAATCTTCAAAATAGATTCCTTCTCACTATGAGTAATTTTATTTTCGATACAGCTTAGATTCCATCTACCATCATGAATCGAGTCAGCCACTAATAATCTCTTCTCATCATCCATTACTACCATTAGTGTGCAATTTATGCCCTGCGATACCTGGGATCCAGAAATTGTCCCACGCTCTAACCTTCCTTCCATCCCCAATCTTCCAACAGAATTCTTTTTGTAGCAACTCTCTTCCTTCGAGAAGATTCGACCAACACCAAGAAGCATGACCTTTTTTTTTTTTTTTGCAGCTATAAAATCGCATTTGGGAAAGTAAATGCCCTTCAAAATCTTGCACCACATATCATCTGGACTTTGAAGTAATCTCCAATGCAGACTTGGCTAATAAAGCTTTGTTAAAGCTTTGTAGATCCCTAAACCCCAATCCTCCATCAGCTTTAGACTCAGTAATGGCTTCCCAACTCTTCTAGTGAATCCCATCAGAACCATTACTATTTTTCCCACAAAAAATGAGAGACCAAGCTATCAATTTCCTTACAAGTCTTCTTCGGAAAGGTAAAACAAGACATGGGGTGAGTTGGAATTGAATTAGCCACAGTCTTGATCAAAATATCTTTCCCAACAAAAGTCAACATTTTTCAACTTCAGCCCCACCTTATCTCTAACAAAAGCCAAAGCATTAGCTTTTGATCTACCAACAATAACAGGCAAGCCAAGATACTTCCCTGTTTGGTCAGTGGAAATTATACCGAACACACTGATTCCACTTCCTTCCTAACATTCTAAGGAGTGTTAGCAGAGAAAAAAAAAAATGCAAGATTTATCAAGATATTGAGGTTCTTTTTAAGGGTAGCAATCAAAACAGCTTTCAAGAGCATGGATCGATCTATAATAAGAAAAGGCATGTTTCAGTATTTCATAAATCATAAAAAGTAGACTTGGAAGTTATAGCGACAGAGGAAAGTTGTTTGTTGTCATTGAAGATCTCTGCATCACGCGTATCTGAATTGAAAGTGATGCTACAGTGTGGACTTTCTCAGTTTTACCCTTCATCATTGGGACGCAACAGTGTTGAAATTCAAATTGACATTAAAAAATCGGATTTTAAATAAAAATACAAAATAAATCAATTATGAATAGAAAATTGAAAATATGTGTGAACCACGAATTGAAAGTAAATAGTTTAATAGCTTCCTACAAAAGCAATCCACTTGTTCATATTATAGGAGGAAGGGTTTTTTTTTATCCTTTATATAATATACTTGATAGGATATTAATTATATTTTTTAAATATTATTTTGATTTAAATTTTATTAACTATGAGAGAGAATGTAACATAAATTTAAATTTTTTATTTAAATGAAAATAAAATGAAAAATTTATTCTATTTTTAGATAAAATTAATGAGTTAACCACCCATTCTTGATCCAATGAAATAGTTAGAAATGCTTTATAAATAAAAATTGAATAGAAAAATGAAAGCAGATTTTAAATAAAAATGCAAAAATAAATCAATTATGAATAGAAAATTTCACATTTGATTAGGAAATATTGAATAGTTTAATGGCTTCCTACAAAAGTATATATTAGATTATATTATATTCAACTAAAAAAAAGATTAGATTGGATCAAATCAATACATATTTGATTATACAAAATAAAGGCACGTCTGTATTGTAAATAATTATTTTATTATTGACTTAAAAATTGATGTGCGTTTAACATTTCTACAAGCATACATTTTTGTATTAACTAATTTAATTTAATTCTTCTAAAGACAATTCTGATCATGGATCCACTGAAAAAAAATCTGCACTTCTTTTATTTTTTGGTCCAAAAAATAATCTGCACATTCTATCCTCTTTATATATATATGGTTGTATAATTAGATCAGATTCAAACATTATCAAGCTCAATTAAAAATGGTTTAATAATCTTCACAAATATGTTTTTTTACGTTTATATGAATTTAAATTGATATCTCATGCAATCATGCTTAAGCGGTCATATTCTCTTACATTAAGATGACAGTCTGTTAGTCTTGATTGCTTAATTTTCTCTTTGCTTATCGCCATGGAGATTTCCTGGCAAAACCTTAGCTCCTTCACATCAGTCAAAATAGAGAAATGGCATTCAAGGACCCTTGTAAGACTTTATTTGCAAAAAAGGACAAAAGAAATCGAATACCAGTCACTCTACACCCTTGGATTTGATATGTAAATAATATTGTTGGGAAAGCGACAAAAATATGTTGTCGTGGAAATATGATATCACTCAAACTTGTGAGTTGGATTTTTTCCTTTGTAAAAAAGAGCAGAGGAGAGATCAGTCCGAATATGAACTGTTTTAAATTAAATTTAAAAATATATATTTAATTATTTAAAAAAATGTAAATTTGAATGGTTCAGATTTACAGTGAAAAAAAAAGTAAAAGAGAGAAACCCACTCCTCAAACTTGCTGGTTCTATTGCTTGTTAAAATGTAATGTGTATTTGTTGTTTTTCAAATATTTACTTCTTAAACAGAGCATTTCACTTGTAATTTCACTCAAATTTGCTAGTTTTAATTTATTGCTTAGAGTTGGATTTGTTATTTTTTGATCTCTTACTTGTTAAAATGTAATAAATACCTGTTTGTCAGTTAAATAAAGTATTACACCTATCATTTCACTCAAATTTATTAATTTTATTAGAGCCAATAAATTGAGTGTGCCATACTTATTTTGACCAATTTCAATTTGGGTTAAGTTTAAAATACCTTAACATATAAAAAAGTTTATATTTAAGCCTTTGGGCTGGTTCAAATATTCAAATTATAAATACTATTTCATTTTGGATAAATTGTTCCACTAGCAAAAAAAAAAAAAAATCTTGTACCCATACAATATAGATTAAATTTTTGAAATTTTGGAGTGCGGCTGATTCATTTTAATATACAAGATATTTATCATTGATATACAATAAATTTATTATTTATATATAAATGGTTTATTATTGAAAATTTAAAAATTTACAAGAGGCTTATTGTTAATATATAATGATATACTATTGATAAATGTAAAAAATTGACCATAATATAAAATATAATAAATGTTAGGCTGTTTGTTTAATTTGATTTTATAGCATGAGTTATATTTGTAAAAGCCCCTTTTATTTTTTACTTTTTTTTATCTAATTTCAATTTTTATTTTTAAAAATAATAATCTTATTTTGTATTATTTTATTAATAATAAAAATGAAACTCGGGTTCAGGTTTGTCATGAATTTTTTCGGATGAGCCAAATAAGTCTTAGTTATTCCTTTCGAATCACACAAAAGAAAACTATATATATATAAAGGGAGAATGATTAAAAAGTCTAAAGAAATAAATTAATTTAATTTAAATCTCAAATATTAAATTTTAAGAACTTGCAAGTTCAACTATTAATTTTATATGAATCTAACTTATAAATTTTTAAAACTTGACACTTAAAATTTAAGTTGAATTAATTGATTTCTTTAAAACATATTTGTCATTCTTCCCTACATACATACATATTATTTTTTTAATAATATATATATATATATATATATATTTATATATTCTACGATCTAGCTTTGAAAGGTCATTAACTGTATCCATGGAGCTGTTGTCTTCTCTAGTTTTCTACATCTCCGTGTTTCTCTCTTTGGTTAATAACACCTTCCGTCAAGCAATCATCAATGATGGCTTGAAAGGCTACCGTGAGCTGAAGCTTCCCGGTGTTACAGGCCCCGAAAGCTTAGCCTTCGACTGCGATGGCGGCGGTCCATATTCCGGAGTATCGGACGGCAGGATTCTCAAGTGGAATCAGACTCAGCAACAGTGGCTTGACTTTGCTATCACCTCGCCGCACAGGCAACCTCTCATCATCTGATCATCTTCTTCTTCTTCTGGATCTATGTATTAGTACACTGCACACACACACGCACATTCATTGGTCCATGTGTTGCCACGTAATTCTATATATATTCAAGCAGATAAGAGTCATTATTAGAACATATTTCAGAGAAAGTATAGTATATAGTTTTAAAATTTAAATCATTGCTCATGAGATGTTACTACAACAACAATCTAATTATCTGAATTAGCCTCACATGACTTCTAGGTAGTCTGGGTTTTGAAGTTGAGATCTCTCGAGATATTTGATTTTATAGTTCTTTTTTTAATTTTTTATACATAGTTTTCTTGCCATTGATTTTTTTTAGTCGTTTGGTGGGCCATTTGAAATGTTTTCCACCATGCCAATATAAACCCAAAAGAAGAAAACAAAGAGTTGCGTGTGAGATTTCTAATCTAATTAATAAAGATTTAACTCATAATTCACTCTAACGAGAGGGGGATCTTTATAGTGGACAACTTACAAGTACTTTCATTAACGTTCTTTGAGCCTTGGATACATGCCTGGGCTTTAACAAGCTCTTGACATTCAACTTCCCTACAATTTTTGTTATGGAAAAATGAGTTATGTGTGAGATCTCATTTGATAGCTCTTAGCCACTTCATAAAGCCTGATATATAGTTGTGCTAAATATGTTTTTCTGCAAGTGTTTGGTTACAGAGAAAGGAAATTGTGTGATGGGTCAACAGATCCAAGCAGGGAAGATGCATATGGGAGGCCATTAGGGCTTAAATTTGACAGCAAAACATGTAATCTTTACATAGCAGATGCATGCTTAGGCCTCTTCATGGTTGGGCCTAGTGGTGGTGTGGCCACACAACTGGCCATTTCTACTGATGATGATGCTGCTCCCTTCAAATTCCTCAATGCCTTAGACATTGATGAGCAATCTGGTGTTTATTTCTCAGATAGCAGCACTTTATACCAAAGAAGGTATTTTCTTCTTCTTCATGTATTTAAACTTCACAACCATATTATTTCATATAGCGAAACCAGGGGAAGATTATAAAACGGGATACTATAAAATTTTCATGAATGTTAGAAGGTTAGAAGTATATGACATCTATATTGTTTTTTTTTTTTTAAATTAAAAACTGGAGGCCTTGATCCCCACAGCGTACGTATCATATACATTAATTTAATGTTTTGAAAATCAGAGTAGGCAATAAACCGAAAAGGCCAACAAGTAACGTTTTCATAATTCAACTGGTTAAATTAATAATTAATCATGTGCATGATAATGAAATTAAAATAATATTTATATGCATCTACACACACATATAAAAAGGAATAAAATATTAAAAATACTGATAATATGTCATTCCTAGTTTAGAGTTGTTTGGGTATAAACTATTAAGTTTCAACTTCCTCACTTTTTTTATATGTATATTTTTTGCTTATATTATTTGTCCTCTTAAAGCAAATGGATTTTTAATTTTCTTTATATTTTATTTAACATAATACCAATTAGCAAATTATGCATTTATGATTATTATTATTATGGGTGTAGTGAATGATGAAAAGCTAATTTCTTGCGTATGTGAAATTAAAGGGAATGGCCGAAGATAGTCATCACTGGAGATAGAACCGGGAGATTGCTTAAATATGACCCAAGAAGCGAGAAAGTAGAGGTCTTGGTGGAAGGCTTAGCATTCCCAAATGGAGTGGCTCTAAGCCAAGATGGGTCATTCCTTGGGTGGCAGAGTCAAGTTCAGGCAAGGTTTACAAGGTGCGGCTGAAAGGGCCCAAGGCACACAGTTCAGGACTTTTTGTACAACTCAAGAGAGGCCCAGTCAACATCAAGAGGGACAAAAATGGAGATTTCTGGGTGGGATTGTACAGTGGTAGAAGTACATGCAGTCATAAAAATGAATGGTGGAAGTTAGAAGAAGACCCTGTGGGAGTGAAGCTTGATGGGAAGGGAAAGACTTTGGAGGTATTGGATGGAAGAGGAGGTCAAGAACTTGAATCGGTGAGTGAGGTAGTAGAACATCATGGGACTTTATGGGTTGGGTCTGTTGTTAAAGATTATGTTGCTTTGGTTAATAAGTAATTTTAGCTTTAAATGCATATATATTGCAAATAATTATAAGCCCACCAAAAATTTTAGAAGCAGGTCACATGATTTTATGATATACATATATATAATTATTTCTAAAAATATTTCCAAATTCTCTTATCACTATCATTTGTCTTTTTTTTTGTTAAATAAAAGGTTAAGCAAAAATCATACAATTGTAAGAAGGGGGGAAAAAAAAAGAAGCAAAGAGAACATTATACACTTTGTTTATCTAACTTGATCAATCTCTCCTCCTCTAACAAGAGAGGGACCATGAAATAAAAAGGAATGAATAAACCATAAGCTTCTCTAGCCAGATAATTGCTTTTTTTTTAATTGTTTATAAATATCCTCCAATTAGAGGCTACTATTTAAATATGATCAAGCATTAAATACAGACAAATGTTTCAATAGATATTATAAGAGATTAAACCTTCCCATTACACCCAAACCTTGTTGGTGGCAAGATACTCTCTTTGCTCCTTAATATGACACAAATTCAACTAATTTTACACTTATTAAAAATCATAGTTACGTCCTCAAATTTATTAAAAAAGGTGTAATTTTTTAATTTTACCTTTTTTATAATTAATAATAATAATAATAAATTATTATCTAGGAATTTAAACAAAAATAAATAAACAAGGGGTAAAAGTGAAAAAAAAATTAATTGTTGTAATCTTATATTAAAAATTTAAAAAACTTTCAAATTTTCCCTTTCATTGAAAACAAGAGATAGTAATTGCTTTAACTTAATATTCCCTTCAATCTAAAATATGAGTACATTTTAACAATGATTTGTATATCAATAAAATTTTTATTTTCATGAAAATATGTATTATTTTTTCTTTTTATTTATATTTTTAATTTATGATGAGTGAGAAGAATGTAATAAATTTAAAGACACCAAAATATACGTTAATAAATACAAGGGATAACATGACTTTTTTTGACAAATGCTAAGATACATATATTTTAGATCAAAATTAATTGAGAAAATGATTATATTTTTTGGGTAAAAAATGCTTATATTTTATATTGCTTTAACTTAAAATTTGAATCATCGTTGTCAAACTCGTGAATCAACCAAGTTCATTTAGTGAGTTCACATTGTTGCCCCTTCAAATTTGGTCAACTCACTTGAAGACATAATTTTTGTCAAACTTAGACGGACTCGCTGGTCAATCAAATGGACTCGTTGAAATCGAGGTCGGAATCGTGAGTGCAGGCGCGTTGCAATTTCAATTTTCATGCGCGAGTTTTGTTAAAAATAACAGGCCTTATCTGATTCGCACACGGGGTCACCTGAAGCAATGGAAGGAAAAAGCCGCCTTGCCATTGAGACTTGATGAAACCGTTAGTGCAAGCATATCAATATAATAATCAATTAATAAAATATGGAACGCCACTCTTTCCAAGAACACTAATGCTGCCACTCTTTCCAAGAACACTAATGCTTGGTTAAATGACTTTATGAAGAATGTTAGCCAATAAATGCAAATTTCTCTTAACCATAACCCCTTATTTTGTAATTAAGACTTTGCTTGCTAGTTTGAATTAAAACAAATATAAGCAAGTTTTTAGCATGATATAAAGCTATTGAGATGGAGTTATTTTTATTAAAATTAAGCTAAAAATGAAAGTTTAAATGAGTAGTATGAAATATAGTTTGGAAACAATAATTATAACATATAATATTATGTATAAATATTATGATTTGAATTGTTTAAATAAATTATATATATATATATATCACTTTAGTTATATAATTATATTTAATAGTTATTTATAATATATTGCCCTTTCTCTTTCTATAATTAATTTTCATCCTTTCTCTTTTCATATATTAAATAATGGATATTTTTAAAAATTTATATTTTTGCTTTAGAAAAATAAGGTTGTTAATGCTATGTTCGGATACATATGGATTTGGATTTAGATTTAAATTTGGGTCAAATTCAAATTCAAGTTCTATGTCAATTTTTTTATAGTTTAAAATCTTTTCTAAACCCATATTATTTTAAATTCTAACTCAATCTCTTTTGTAATTTGACCCAAATCTATGAAGGCTTGATCGACTCGCCAACGGTAATTGGACCAGACTGTCAAAGTTGACAAAAACAAGATGCCACTGTTGAATGGGACTAGATAACCGACTTCCATTGAGATTGAACTAACAGTGATGATGAAGATTGGATTGCCGATTTCCATAGGGATCGTATGGCTGACTTTCACTAAGACTAGGCCGATGGAGATGACGGGGACCGGAAGGCCAACTTTCTCTTGGATGGACAGAAAATGACCACAGGGATTGGACGATTGACTTCTACTAGGATGGGATCAATGGCAATGATGTGAATCAGACGGCTGACTTCTATTGAGATCAGATTGACGACGATCGCTGGGACTAAACTGATGGCAACCACCAGGACTAGACGACCAACTTCCATAGGGACCAAACCGATGGCGATGATGAGGACTCGACGGTTGACTTTCACTGGGTTCAATTTCAATGGAAGTCGGCCTTCCATTTTTGGTGGAAGTCGACCATCCTATTCAGGTCGTTGTTGTCGGTCTAGTCTTGTTGGACGTAGTTAGTTTGACCTCAGTGGTTGCCATTGGTATGGTTCCTATAAAAGTCGACCGTTTGGTCCAAGTCATCATTGTTCGTCCAATCCTGTGGAAGTCAATCATTAGTCTCGGTGGAAGGCAGCCATTTGGTCCTCGTGGTTGCCGTTGATCTGATCCCGATGAAAAGTAGAAAGTCCAATCCCAGTGGTTGTCATTAGTTCAGTCTTAGTGAAAGACGGCCATCCAGTTCTTATCATCACTGTTGGTTCGGCCCCAATGAAAGTTGGCCATCTTGTCTCAGTCATCGTTAGTGCTACAGTCCTAGTCAAAGTTGACTGTCTGATCTCAGTGAAAGTTGGCCATTCAGACCATCAACTTTAACCAGTCGTTCAAGTTTCTTTTAAATTCACATATAAAATTTAAAATTTAAAATTTTACTTTAGATCTAAACAAATGATTTTACTATTCTAATTTAAAATTTTTATATCATTCAAACAAAGAATTTAGAATCTATGAATTTCAATGTAAGATTTCACATATGATATTTTAAATTTAAATTCTCAAATGAAATCCATCCATCCAAACATAACTTAAGGATATTTAATGAGGTTTATTAGTATATAAAATTTTATCTAGAAGTGTCTTATAATTTAAGATAGAGGAAGTATTTGGTTGTCAAAGCTCCATTCAACAGCTCGAACAATGGATCTTTGATTTACAGTTGGAGCTCTGGCAACCAACAATATGTTTTTAAGCTGAGCAATATGATCATTTTATTTTAAAAAAGAAATTATGTCAAAACAAGAACTTGAAAACTCCAAGAAATTATAATATGCCTACTTTTCTCAATAAGGAGAATGACAATTAGGTATCAAAATTTTGAATTAATGGTAGTTAGATAATTAATAAAATTTTCTACAAAATAAATTGTAAATATCAATTTAAACAGTTTCAAATAGAAGTTCTTGTTACAATCAAAAAGTTATATTTGATGCTTAAATATTTATTTATTATTTATAACTGAAACTTTTGGATTTGTAATTATATGTATAGATATTTTCAACTAATTTTCAAAAAAATTGTTGGAGACTTAATTATCATTAATTCAATATTCTGAATTAAACTGTGATTCTCCCTTTCTCAACATACTGTGGAGAAGCCAATTGGGTTTGTTGAATTATGGTTTATTTTATTTCTATTAAAATAATATATTTGAAAACTGTAATAATTCAATTTCAGGCTTTTTAAAATGGAAATACATTCATTGACACTACATAGACTAAGGTACTCCCTTGTTTTCAAATATTAAAAATAATTAATTCAAATAGTTTAAGAAAGTTAGTTAAGTAATTATATCTAAATTAAAAAATTTAAACTAAATTATTCCTATAATTAATGAAATAAATTTTTTTAGTGAAAATAACATTGATGACTTTAAGAGGGATAATTTGAAAAAAAATGTAATAAATACTTTTTAAAATTTGCAGTTTTACTTATAAATAAAAATAAAGACACAAATGATTATTTCTCTTATATTTGAAAATAGAGGATAGGAAAGCAGCTTGCAGCCCAAAATGATGACTTAAACATTTTAACAAAACTAAATGTTGTGAGTGAACAGATGATATAAAAATAGTATACATATTTAATTATAAAATTAGAACAATGACAAAAAAAATACTCCTGAAATATGTAACTGGCATTAAGTATAACAAAATATGATAATTTTTTTCTGGTGCCCTTGTTTTAAAATTTGTCAATAAAGTGCAAGAACTAAATTAGTTACTACTTTATTTTGGGTAATGACTACTTTTATTGGGGAAATGACTAGAATGAAATAACAAATTACAAGTTATTCAAGGAAATTTTTTTTATTAGTGAAGTCCAGCAACTAAATATGAATAGTTTTCTTAAAAATTAATAGAACAGAATAGCAAATTACAAGTTCTAATTTTTCATCTTTTATTTTCTAGAAGGGAAAAAAAGTCCTTTCACATTAAAGCTAATTGACATAAAAGTTTATAGGAACTAAAAAATAATTATCACATTGGGCAATTCCTAATTATCATTTGCATATTTGATGACTCCCTATTTTGTGTTATATTTGACATATTTTTGGTTATATTTTGGGAGTTATCAATGGAAAAGAGAAGCATTTTCTTGCTTTTGTAAAGAGAAATTAACTAAGTGCCTCATATGAATTTATTAGAAAATTATTTAAAATGATGGAAATTACAGTAAGCAAATATTCCACTCATATTTATTAATTGTTGATAGGTGGATCATAAAAAAATTAAAGTAAGAAAGAGAAAGGAGATAAGAAAAAAGATAATTTTGATCCCAAGACATAAAAGCAAAAGTTCTTGTACATTGTCAATTTTTTTTTTTAGAATTGCTCACTAGTACCATGACACCACAAAAGGAGTGCCATGTCACAAGATGAAATTGCAAAAAAG